GGATACCACATACTCAACAGAGATAAGAACAAAACCAAAGCAAGCAGATGAAGCTCCCTCACTTTGAAAGCAGTTTCCACATTTGCTGCCGCTGCTCACCTACAGATGCTAGCAACATGTCTGCACACGACAGAGGAGCCTTGAATCTTGGATAAATATTTCTGAAGGTTTAAAACTCATTCATCCAGCATGCATTTATATATTTTGTGTTCTATGAGTCCGTTTCTTATGTATTCTTATGTTTTTTGTAGTTTCGCCTCAGATCTTTCAAACTTTGTAAGGCAGTGTTGGCTACACAAAACTAGTTCTGTAAGCCCCAGACTCTAGACTCCCAGAAAAGGCTCTCTTGGAGAATAATTTGGGAAGCACTCCATACTCTCTCCCCTCTTTGCAGATTTACAATCAACATGAATCAAAGAGGGAATGATGGGAATTGCACTCAGCAGGCAAGCGACTGTGTCTGGCTCTGCTTCTAGCTGGTTGTGTGCCTGGGCAAGTCTATACAGCTCTAGATGGCACAGCTTTCTTGTCTCTCGCTTGATAGCTTTGCTCTGCCACCTTCCCAGCTGCCTCCCCTCACAGCCTCACAATGTGAGAATGGGTAGCAGATTTCTGGTGAACCACCCATTATCATAACCTGTGTTCTTTCTCATTTCAGTTATCTCCCCTGCAGTATTCACCACCACATAGCCCTCAGGAGACATGGTGCTCACCTTCTGGGTTGCACTAAGACAAGGGTGACCACATCTTTACTGCTGTATCCTGGGTGAAGATCTTATTTTCTTGGAGAGTTTCCAGCAGCATCCCTATTTCCTTAAACTCTGGATAGGCAGCCATGGCATCTGGTGACCAAAGGACATGCAGGAGATGACAGCCAAAAGAATAGCAGAGACTAGAGCTAGACTTACTGGCTTAAACCCTACTGAAACCCAGTCTCCCTCTGAACTTGCTGTTGTGTGAGTCAAGAAATTTATATATATCATCTTGGTAGAGAATCTCTGTAACCTGTAACTGATGTCATCTAATAGATATGGCACTGTATGAGACATCTTCTTTGACTGAGGTTCATATCCTAGAAACCATGTCTCTAGGTACTATTTGGGACTGGGGAGGGGGGGAAGGCGGGGACTGATTTTTCCTCTATGCTTAGACCTGTTTTTGTCCTTTGCTTTGTATCACTTCTTATTGCCTTACAAGGCCAGCCATGATATCCAGTGGCCTTATCTGGGCTTATCCTGCCGGCCCAGCAGGGACCCTGGTCTCCCTTCTCAGAGCTGCCACCTGGCTCAAGCCTCTCAAGAAAACTCTTCACCCACAGCCCCACTATGCTGCCATGTCTTTCAGGTTCTTTTCAACCCCTTAGCTAGGACTGATTTTTTTTCTTTCTTTTTTTGGTTTGTGGTGGAGCCTGAACTCCCTCAGCTCTTCAGCTCGAGGTTAGTGCTCTTCCACTTGAGCCACTTCCGGCTTTTTCTGCTTATGTGGTGCTGAGAAATCAAACCCAGGGCCTCATGCATGCAAGGCAAGCGCTCTACCACTGAGCCACCTTCCCAGCTCGGGACTGATTTTTATTTTTAAAAGTCCTCATGAGGAGGTTTAGGAGATGTATGATGATTACAGCCTAGAAACTGTACAGTCTTGTTAAAATACAGATTCTCAGACGTGACAAATGGTATTTCTGGCATTGAGGTGTATGAGCTTGATTTTTTCATAGCTCAGACCATAGTTCTCATACCCTGTACCCCAAAGCAGTTTGGCCTCTAGTCCCATCATGTGACAAAACAGAGACTGAGGCAATGGGGGAGATTAGGAAGAAGAGAGAATATGGAAAACATGATAAAAAATGCTGGACTGAGCTGTGTATGGGGGCACACACCTGTAATCCCATGTACTGGGAGGCAGAGATGGGAAGATCACAGTTTGAGTCCAGTTTAAGCAAAAGTTACTAAGACTCTAGATCAAAAACAAGATGAGTGTGTTTCTAAAAACTTGTATTCCTACCTATTCAAGAGGTGGTGGAAGAGGATTGAAGTTTGAAGGCAGCCTAGACAATCACTGAGCCTATCTCGAAAAAACAAGATAAAAACAGATGAGCTGGGGATGTGCCTCATGTGGTAGAAAACTGAAGCACACTGAAGTCCTGTTTTTAATCTCCATTACTGTAAAAGAAAAGAGAAAATGGTGAGGAGAGAAAGAGAGTCAAGGAGGGAAGACATTTTGAAACCAAGTTATTTCTATTTCTTTTTCACTAAGGTCAAATTAAATCCGTCTCAAATTTTGGATACTTGGCAGTTTCACAATCCTATGCAACAGACTAGATAAATAAATCCACAAAAAAGATTCCTGATTAGATTTAGTGTTTGGATTTCAGGTTTTAAATTTTCTTTTGACCCCTGAGTCAACTTATATATACATAGAGTTATCAGGGTAGAATGTAAATAGTAACCTTTGGTTACTATTATCAACCCAATCCTTTATTCATTTGTTTGGTAACTGGTATTACTTTTTTGAGGGGGTTATTAAAAATACAGTTTTTCTGATCTTACGTAGAAATAGAGAATATGACTTTCTGGGGATGGAGGTCTAGTTTGGTTGGCTTATAAACTTGGACATGTGGCAGAGGTACCTGGAGACCTTGTTAATATACAGATTGGGCCCTCAGAGTTTCCAATTCACTGGGTCCAAAATGAAGCTTGACAATTCGCATTTTTTGGCGATGAATTTCTGGGTGATGCTGACGGTGGCAGTCTGGGAACCACTCTTTGAGAACAACACCCAACCCCAAGTTGGTGTTCCGTAGGTTTGTCATTCATTCACACTTCAATTATGTAACCATTTTCTTAGGTGAGCGGGAATGCATCTGGCTAAGCATCCTAATCATATAGGAGCTAATTTCATTTTTCTTTTTTTTTAAAAAAAGTTCAATATTGGAGTTAGGCTTAGGCATCACCTGAGATTGACTAAATCAATATTCCCAAGATTGTTTTGCTGTTACACAGTAAATCCTGGTTCATCACATTTGAAACTATTTCTTTGGGTAGATCAGACTTGCAAATTCATGAATAACATGTGAAAAATTGCTGGTTATTTTTCTGAAATTCTTTTACTTTTATAGTATCATGATTTGAACTCAGCATTTTGTACTTGCTCAACTCACTTATTTAGGACTAATACACTACCATCTGAACCATGCCTGGTCCCCAGCCCAGAATTTTGCTGGTTATTTTGGATGTGGAATCTGGCTCAGAGCCACAATCCTTTGGATACTCAGCCTCCTCAATATCTAGAATTATAGGCATGAGCCACCAGTGCTTGGCCTGAAACTCAAATTTAATGGGCTGTTTTTATTTGCAAATCTGGCATCTCCTGCCGAGTCAGCTATCTCCCAGGAATTTCTTCCTCTGTATAGCCCCTCCTTTGCCTAACAGAATGTAGATGAATGAATCCCCAAAAAAACATGAGATATGGGGTATAGAAGAAAAAATGAGGATGTTGTCTATGGAAAGAAAAAATAAGCCCCTTGTACATGCATGCACACACACACATGCACACACGAAAAAACAGCAGAAAATTAATTAATCTAGGCAGCAGAAAGAAAATCAGAAAAGAATAATTTACTGTCTGCTAATGTTTTTTTTAAACAGACAATTTGTCAATTACACAGTCAAAAGAAACCCTGAGGAATAAAAAGACACCAAAGACGCTATTAAAATGTTCTAAGGGAAGCCATATATAATTAATTTCAAACAGGCATAAGCTATGAAAACGCAAATACTTCAAGGTGTTGAGTGAAAAGTGGAATAAATCTACATCAGGTTTCAAAACTGATGCTTCCAGGTGAGACTAAGGTTGGGCCTAAGACAGGGAGATAAGTTGTCTGCCCCTCCCTGTTTTATGTGACACTAAAGAGACTCTCCCAGTAGTACATCAAAGGCAAGAAGAGACAACTACAGCCCAACTTCTGACATCAGCACAAAACTACCAGGAGACAGAACTGAATAAATGGACAATCCATCAAAACAGAAGAAAATTCACTGACACCAAGGACAAAGAAAACAAAACAAGCATCTAGCAAATCATGGGCCAGACAAGTAACCCTTATGAACACCAAGGACCCTGCAAAGAAAGTAGCTTTCTTTGTAAGCAGTCTTCAATTCTTACAGTAAGGGGTCAGCAAACATTTGCTATAAAGGGCTAGAGAGTAAGGCTTTCAGACTCTGCAGACCTGTACTTTCTTTACACGATATGTGTATCATGTGCCATTCTGCACAGACAGGCAATCCTGCCATTGTAGAATAAAGGCAAAGACAATACATGAACAGATGGATGTTGGTGGTTGTGTTCTAATAAAACTTTATTAACAAAAAGTAGGTGCTATGATACATTTGGCTTGACAAGACAGTTTGCCAACTCATGGCACAGGAGAGTCCATGCAAAAACAGCAGCATTAGGGGTTCTGTAGAGAGGCCAGCATTCTAATTATGCATGTTCACTTATAGGGGGAAAAAGGTTCCAGGTTCTTTAAGCAGGGAAAAGATATTCATTTGATATTCTGAGATTGGGGTGGAGACGGGAGGAAAAAAACAGGGAGAGAGTGGAGGAAGGGGTGACATTGCCCAAAAAGAAATGTACTCATTACCTCACTTATGAAATGGTACATCCTTTGTACATCACCTAACTAATAACAATGCAAAAAGAAATTGTGAGACTCTATTAGAAAAGAGACAGAAAAAACAGCCAGACTAAGCATTTCACTCCAGGTTTAGTTGGGTTTTTTGTTTTGCTGAGCCTGACCTTCAGAGAGGAGGTGGCCTGACAGGGGAAATGTCTCCCGTCACTTCATCTGACTAGGAATCTTTAAGCTGGTGCCACTGAAGGAGCATCACACAATAAAATATCACCTCCCTGAATCAGAGTAGTCTCCTGGTCTTGTCAGTGTACCAGTTTACATTCAGTTCCCCTAAAGGATTCTTCCAGAAAAAGACAAAAACAAACTAAGCCACGTTAGAAGGAAAGTTTATTTTTAAATCTAGCATGTATCACCCACAGTATGTGGAAACACAAGTTCAGTGACTCTGGTAAACGTTTCATCAGAGACCTTTGTGTCAGTCAACAAATACACAGCATGCATTTACTTGCATAATCCACAGCTTTATTCCCCCACCCATTCCCCTCACAAGTGGCAAATAAATTCCATATTATTTCAACTGGAAGTTTTCTTTTTACAGTTGCTTTTCCTGTCGACTATGCTCAGGAGTGCTATAGCCTGGAGTCTGAGTGTCCCCTGAAAAACCCATGTGTTAAAGGCTTTGTTTCCAATCTGTGGTGCTATTAGAAGGTAGGAGAGCCGTTCAGTGGCAGGGACTACTGGGAGGTTTTAGGTCAATGAGGGAATACTCTTGAAAAGGGTTTTAGGATCCTGGCTCTTCTTTCTCATCACCACACCCAAATATAACTAGGTTAACTAGTATGGATGCCATCCTCCAAAACTGCCAGCCAAAGTAAACCTTTCCTTTTTTATAAGTTGATTATCTCAGATAATTGTTATAGTAATAGAAAGCTAACTGATACATTAGGGAAACTTTTCTCTTGGAGGGGGGGAGGGTTAGATTTCACAGAGATGCTCTGAGTGAATCATAGAAACCAGAGAGTCTGATCCAGCAGCCTCTGAGGGAGTCCATGAGGTCAAGAGGTCCTTTCAGTCTTTTAGGACTTATTAGGCTACTGTAAAGTGTCAGAGATTCTGGCAGGGTCTTCCCTGTAGAACTTTTACTTTGATTGAAAGCCTGGGAGGCAGTCAGTCCTCTCAGTCCCTACAGTCCCCATCCTCAGTGCAAACCACTGGCTTGTTTCAGGGTCCAATGTGTGCTGTTCACCAAGTGCAAGATAGGTCTTCATTCCAAAGTTCACTGCACACACTGTTTCTGCCTTGTGCTTTCGAGGGCTAGTCTCTATCCCTCCTAGGGATGGTGGTATCGTAGCAGCAGAAGCATGAAGACCCAGGCAAATACTGGTAGGGAGGGCACGGGGGCACTGCTGCCAGATGTTCTCTGAGCATGCATTACAGCAAAGACTGCATTTGAGTGGTTGGTGGGCAACTCGACATTGCAGATCATTCCTTCGCAGCAAGACCTACATTCCTGTTACAAAGAAAAAGGAGAGGGAAAAAAGAGAGTGGTTAACAGGAAGAGGAAAGGGGTAAAGTACAGCAAGAAGAGAAGGGCTTTTTCAGCTCCACCTGAAGTGTCCCTGAGAATGTTTCCAGCATGTACTTGGTACCATGCCTTGACTGGATAAGACCATTCATTATTAGAAGCTTCTAGGATGGTGAGGCGACAGAAAGGCATAGACACAAATAGTTCTCAACTATAGTTGCTCATCTGATTCACTGGAGAGACCTTTCAAAGAACTCTTTCTTGCTGCTGGGTGATGGTAGCTCACACCTGTAATCCTAACTACTCAGGAGGCTGAGATCTGAGGATCATGGTTCAAAGCCAATACCAGGCAGGAAAGTCTGTGAGACTCTTATCTCCAATTAACCACTAAAAAAGAAGAAAGAGAGAAAGGGAGAAAGGAAGGAAGGAAGGAAGGAAGAAAAGGAGGAAACGGAGGAAGAGGAGGAGGAGGAATAGAAATAGGAGGAGGAGCTGTGGAGCCTTCAGCAAAACAGCTCAGGGTCAGTGCTCAGGCCCTTAGTTCAAGCTCCAGGACCAGCACGTGCATGCGCACACACGCACACACATACACACACGCACACACGCACGCACACACACACACACACACACACACACACACAATCTTGCTACCCAGATCCTCAACCCTGAGTATCCATTTCAGTGCATCTGAGATGTTCCTCTCCCATTCCCACCGACATACCTTGTGAAAGCTGCCCAAGTGTTCCTTGTGTAACCAGAATTAATAGTCACTGAAGTCAGAGCCATTTTCTGTACATAGAGGCTGCCTCAATTCTAAATCCTCATGAAGTGAATACACTTTCAAGTAACATTTTCTCAAAAGTTTCAGGTGTTCCAGGTACATAGAAAAAGTTAAACTCTCACTTTGATTGACAACATGAGAAAATGAAAGAGGCCAATTTATCCAAAATGCATCTATAGTTCACCTATCCTTTCAGACTCTCACTTCTTCTTCAGAGCAGAGGTAGAAGTGAGACAAGATTTTCTTGAGAAAAGCTGCCACTACTTTTCTCCTTTTCCCCTGGGCAGTGTTCTCGTGTTCTTGGTGATTTTTCACACCAGGCTCTCTAATATTCCTCATTCTCATACATGGTTCGTTTTGAGCCACCAGAGATAGTTTCAAACCTTTCACAGAACATCTGAGGCCGAGTCTCAGAAAATTCCTGTAGAATGGTAATTCCCATAGAATTCTATGCAAATAACTGATAGATCTCTGGGAATAATTATTCTACGGGATTGATAGTTCTTTGGGAATTATTCCTTTTTAGTAACATCTATTGTTGAAGGATAGCACTGTAATGGACCCTTTTCTCAAAACATATTTATCTTTCCTGCTTCTTCTCTGCATAACTTAAGACCACTAGCATAAAACCTTAGGCAGTAACATTGCACATATTCATGCAAACATGCTGTCTTTACCGTATGTTCAGAATCTTGACTGTGACGGCAGCCAACAAAATGGCATTCATTTTTAGATGCACACTTTTTGGTGATGGTACTTCTTCCCTGGTTGGTGAAGTGATGAACTGTCAAACAATATTGGGTGTCTATATAAAAGAAACAAAAATACTTCATTTTCTACAGGAGAAAAGAGACTGCTCAATGATCAATTTAGAAATAACTAAAAAAACTAAAAATCAGGATGATCCTTAGTTTCTTAAGGGAGAAATTCAAGAGCTGAGAAATACAGTGTTACTAGGTAATAGTTTTGCTAACACATCAGCTTCTGAAGTAGACGTGTGCTTTGAAAATGAATATAAATGGACACCCATTCTTCTGAGTCAGCTAAAACTGGGGAAAGAATGTGAAAGCTTTTCATCACATACCATGGGTCTGAAGCTGGGTTTTGGTACCTCACACCTACAATCCTAGCTACTCAGGAGGCTGAGATCTGAAGATTGCCATTCAAAAGCCAGCCTGGGCAGGAAAGTCTATGAGACTCTTATCTCCACTAAACCACTAGAAAACCAAAAGTGGCACTGTGGCTCAGGAGGTAGAGTGCTAGCCTTGAGCTGAAGAGCTGAGGGACAAGCCCAGGTCCAGAGTTCAAGCCCCATGACCAACACAAACAAAAACATGGATCTGTTCATTGAATATGTAAGTATTATGTTTCTGCTCTCTTCTCTCTCCCTCTGAAGTATGTATTTGGAGCTTTAAAATAAGATGAAAACTGGGAGTGTAAAATGAAATGGGTCAAATACTTGTTGCTAATTCATTTCACCTTTGTTTCTTCTAGGCCATATGGCAAACAGGTGCTCCCAACCATCCATCAAGATCATCATTCTTTCATTCATCTTTCTTAGTTGTTATGCCTGTTTTAATCCTTCCAATATACTTGACTTTTCCTTATCAATGTACTTTCAGGTTTTTCCTCTTCTTTCATTAACACTTGCTTCCTGTTTCCCATCTTCCCTGTATAATTTTGTATAATTTTCCCATTTCCACTCAGGGTTATTCTTATTATTTTAACCACTTTTTATTACTTAGGGTTGTTCAAAGAAAATGATTCTAGCCAACATCCTAGGATATTCTGCTTTGGGTCTATGTCTTCTTTTTGTTGTTGTTGGTCATCTGGCTTGGACTCTGGGCCTGGGTGCTGTCATTCAGCTCTTCAGCTCAAGGCTAGCGCTCTACTACTTGAGTCACAGCGCCACTTCCGGTTTTCTGGTGGTTTATTGGAGATAAGAGTTCACGGACTTTCCTGCCTGGGTTGGCTTTGAACCGTGATCCTCAGATCTCAGCTTCCTGAGTAGCTAGGATTATAGGCCTGAGCCACCAGTGCTCGGCTGTATCTGTGTCTTTTCTGTAACTACTTCAAGTCAAAAAGTTGCTTCTTAGTTCATATATCAAAGACCACAACACAATGTCATTGATAGGTTGAAAAAATATGGGAGTGAAGTTAAGAAGACTGAGCTTACAGAACAGCTTTTGTCACAAGCAGTCACATTAGATGATTCTTCTCCTTCCTCTTCTTCCTCCTCCCCTCCTCCTCCCCTTCTCCTCCTCCTCGTAGGGCTTGAAATCTGGGCCTGGGCACTGTCCTTCAGCTCTTCAGCTCAAGGTTAGTGTTCTACCACTTAAGCCACAGTGCCACTTCTGGATTCTTAGTGGTTTATCCAAGATAAGAGTCTCACAGACTTTCTTTGATCAGCCTTGCTTTGAACTGTGATTCTCAGATCTCAGCCTCCTGAGTAGCTAGGATTACAAGTGTGAACCAACAGTGCCCAGCTCACATTGGATTCTTTAAGCTCATTTTCTTTTCAGTAAATCACTGTTAGTACGCTTGCACTTTGACAGGGATGTAGTTACCTTTAAATGATATTAGCAAAAATAAGCATATACTAGGTACTTACCATTAGCCAGGCACTTATTACTCAAGTTCACTCATTTAGTCTTCACCATAAGCCTCAAGATAGGTCATATCGTATAGAGATAAAGAAATCTGGAAATAGTTTCTTGCCTATGGTCACATGGATGAAAAGTAGGATTCTAATCCCAGAAGTTTACAATGTTTTGTATTCTTAATCAAGACTATCTTGCCTGCCAGGATACTTAATATTAAACTTGACAGTACTGCAGAGTACTCTACAAGAGTTGTGATCTTAGCTAAGTGCTGGTGGCTCACAAATGTAATCCTAGCTACTCAGGAGGCTGAGATCTGAAGAATGCATCTCAAAGCCAACCGAGGCAGGAAAGATGGTGAGACTCATCTCCAATGAACCACCTGAAGTAGAGCTGTAGCTCAGGTGGTAGAGCACTAGCCTTGCGTAATAAAGTTCAAGGACAACATCTAGGCCCAAGTTCAAGCCCCAGGACAAGCACACATAATCACAAAGAAAAAGTTATAACCTTTGAATTCAGAAGGAAAAGGAGTCACTGCATCTTTTGGAAAAAAGTTTTCAACTTATATTCCAAACACAGAAGAATTTAAAAACTGGTAGCCACATGAGTTCATGCAAAACACCTCATATACATCACACATGTGAAAACAGCTTGAACAAGTCAGCACAAAAGCCAAGTCAAATAAAAGAAGAAATGTCATTCTTGTCATATCCAGTTACATAGAGAACCTCTTTTAACAACACCATCAGACCACAGAAATGAAGCCATAAGGAAGCAAGGAAACCTGAGATGACAAAGGACAATAGCTTCAGGCCTGTTCATCCCCACAAAATGGTTGACTATCACTCCTCTAAACAATGACAAAATGAAAAGTAAGAAATGACACCCTTGGTTGTAATCCCAGATGGGTGGTGTGTTTGGAGCTTGACTGGCAGATAGTCAACAATGAGCTACATGCTATGTTGGAATGCAGGCTCATTCCCTGATAACTCCTTTAAGGATAACTTCTCAGAGTGGACAATGCAGAAGTAACACTTCCACCCTTTTCAACTTTGATATGGTCTTGGGGATGGACAGCAATAGTCCTGTTTTTGTTTGACCATGTGTCAAGAGATGAAATTCTAAAACACAGAATTAGTCATGCATGCTACGTACCTGTTACAATGGCTTTTAGTGAACTACACAGCACATAGGTCACAGGCATATGTGCTAATTTACAGTGGAAGATTCTCAAGCCCGTTAAGGTCTTCAGGGTGTATTATTTACTGGTTCTACAAATAATTTTCATCTGGGAGAAGGAAGATTATTTCACTGCTATAAATAATTTGGACTAAAGTTCAAACAGATTTAAGGTAAGAGTGGGCCCACATTAATAATCTCTAAGGCTAGAAGAATTCATTTTACTATTATGTTTGTTTGTTATCATTTCTTTTATATCTAAAATCCTTTAAAGAAAAAAAATTATGCCTTAAGACCTGAACAGCCCCATCTCTAATAGCTCTAGGTAGACATTTTCAATCACAAATCTTCCAATAGCATATTCAATCTTCTTTACATTTATGTTTTGGAGATAAATCATTCAAGTTCCCAACAATTTGATTCCTACCAATCTGGTGTAAGGCCCCATTATCTAACAGAAAAAAAAAGGTAGTCTCTAGTTGGTGTCCATTTTTGCTTTTTTCCACAACCATCCATTCTCCAAAGCAATCTTTTAGAACACAACTAGTAACACATACTCCCCAGGTTAAAACTACTGCCTTCCCATCATATTAACAATGAAATCCTAAGTCTATCAGATAAAGAAAAGCTACATGTCCTTGATCCATTTGTCCCTCCTCAGATCCTTTTTCTACCTCCCACTACACCACAGTGGCCAGGCCAGTCTTCTGACTGTTCATTGAAGAAGCTGAGTCAACTCTTAGCCCTTGAAACCTTCACATTTGCTACTTCCTCTTCCTACAGATCTTTAGCTAGCTGGCTTGTCTTGGTCATTTAGGTCTTAGTACTTATATTAATCTCTATTACAGAGTAATAAAAATGATGCCACAAATATTTTTAAATATATATTTATATATAAGACTATATACATACATATATAGTCTTAGTAGTTGATATATATTCCAAACTATTGAGAAGATATTCCTAACTATTGAATCAAAGGCATCCATTTATTCTGTCAACAAATGTTTACTGAGTTCCTAATAAGATCCCAGCACTGATGGTATACAGATAAACTAAATGAACTAAAGGTGACTCAAACGTTGGTTAAACACTGTTCAAAAAGAAATGTACTCATTACCTGACTTTTGTAACTGCAACCCTTCTGTACATCATCTTAATGATAAACATAAACATTAAAATAAAAAAGAATGAGTTTCCCAAGCATCAATGTACCTCAAGCATAGAGAAAACTTCCTTTGCTTGAAGGCAGTAAGTACTACCCTTGCAGTGTATCATCCAGCAGCATTTCTGAAATTGTTAGAATGCCATAATCAACACTGTGGTCTATCTGTTCTGCTAGATAAATACCATTTAAGAAATTCTTCCTCAGAGTGCTCAAAACAGTAAAGTGAGGCTATGCTACAGCCAGTTTCCAAGTTCCTCTCAGGATAGTCTGACATCTGAACAGGCCCTTAGAATAACATTTCTAGATACCATAAGGAACACCATCAGGCTGTAGGTATGCTAATCTATTACACAAGAATCTCTGCTCAAAAGGTAAATGTAGTCAGATCATGAAAGTCATCCAAACTCAGAACACTTACTTTGTGGACACCACTTGTCTTCTGCCCATCGATTGCAATTGTAATTATCCCCTGCATTTTCACAGGTAAAACACTTGAAGCTGTTTGGAAATGGTGTGGCTTTAAAGACAAATGCAAAGTGAAATAGGTTAAATGAGATGGCAATTTCCAATATCAGGCATAGCATCAAATTAGCAACCTTTATTAGAGAAAACAAAACTCATATCATTTTTAGAATATTCCTTCTTAGAGAGTTAGCTTTACTCATCAGACTTTTGGGTATTTTCTTTACTCATTTGTCATTAAGTACTTCTATGAATTTCTATTACAGAGTAATGAAAATGATGACACAAATAGTTTTTAAAAATCCATAGACATTCTATTATTGCTTAGAATTTGGAATAATTAGTGGTTAAAGGAATGGGAAATGGTGGTAGTTATACTGAAAACAGTAATTTGATCCATATTATTTCTGAAACAAATAAGTCCAGATTAATCTGTTTGAATTTCACCTCCTCCGCTAGTTAGTGCCGGACTTTTAACCTTTGAGATATAACAGTAATAATGAAGATCACCACGAATGCAGAGGTACAGTGAGGAATAAGTAGGACTTACATAAAAACATCTAGTAGGTTTTCTACACATCAAATCCTGCTTGTTTCCCTCCAGAGTGCCTCCCGTTATGGCCATATTTATCTTCAAACCATCTCATGGGCTATATGTCTATTATCATAGTACTAGGCCTTGACCAAGTATGTAACCTTCAATATAAAGTCCTTATACTCAAGCCAAAGTGCTAGGGAAAGGAGAAGTTCTAAGTTCCTGCAGTCTGGATAGTTTTGTGTTTATGTCTTTTCCCCCTTGGATCTTCTTCTTGTTATTATTTGGCAATACTGAGGTTTGAACTCAGGGCTTTATGCTTGTTAGGTGGTGCTCTGCCACTTGAGCATGCCTCCAGTCCTATTTTTGAGATGGATATTTTTTGATCTGCTGACTTTAGGCTTCCTATTGTTAGGTCAAAGATGCCACCCTCTGTCCAGCTTCCCTTTGATGGAGAGGGATTCTTATGAACTTTTCTGACTAGACTGGCCAAGGTCTGAGACCCTCCAACCTCAGTCTCCTATACAGTCTGGGAAGGCAAGCACATGCCACTGCACCCAGACTGAGATATAAATTAAGATGAAGTTTTGCAAACTTTTCTGCCCAGGCTGGCTTTCAACTATGAGTCTCTCCTTCTCAGTCTCCCAAGTAGCTAGGACTACAGGCTTGAGCCACCAGTGGCAGCTGACTTGTATCTTGTTATTTTAATAGACAAGAAAAAATAAAATAAACATTGTGATATAGACTAGGATATATGGCTCTCTGTAAAAATTTTAATTCCTCCAGTTTGGGACAATGAAACAGAGAAAAGTCAAGGTGAACTCTAAGCCATCCTAATACCATAATCAGAAGTTGAGGTGGAAAGTGGCAAACAGTGTGTATCTCAGATGGGCAGAGCCGAGGTACTGTTGCATAAATCAGAGAAAATATATCCAAACCTAAAGTTCAGAGGACATGAAATTAAAAATAGTGCATGTCAGTTTGGACTATACATAAAAGTACATTAGGCAGGCCAGTAAAAACAATGGCATTTTCACCTATTAACTAGTATGAAAAATCCTGATAGTTAATAGTGAATGTATAGAATATAAATTGATACAACCTTTTTTATTTAGCAATTTCATTCCAGAGTATCTATTTTAAGATCATTAGCTAATTGAAAGGAAAAATATGTTTTAAAAGATTTTCAATGAAGAAACAATGAGTTTAACACTTAACTTGCTTGTGGGTTTTTTTCTGATATCAGATGGATAAATAAACTACAAACCAGCCAATTTTTAAGCAATTAAGTCCACTGTTTATTACCTATTTAATAAAATCCCTTCAACATCTGAATGTCTCTTTTCTCTTGAACTATTTTACTATTGTCATTTATGTAGTTCTATAATTTTTTCACAATTATAAGCTCAGCAGAGACAAAATTTTGCATTTGTTTCCTTTCACATATGCTGCTGCATTACTTTTACATTATTTACTATTATTATTTTTAAATAGTTGTACAAAGGAGTTGTCATTTAACAAAGCAGTTTATGAATATTCATCAATAACACCCCTTCCAATGTAAAAATTTCCAAGAATATGGAAATTTTATAGTATAAAGGGGAAAACTAATATAGAACTCAGTTTATGTGATCTCAGTTTACTACATGTCTAAAGTCTTATATGTAAAATAAAAAAATCACTGAAAATTGTAGTATATAACTAAGAGCTCCTTTGAAGCTTGATATCATAAATAATTATTTTTACCCTCTTTTATACATATGTGCATATATGTGCATTGAAAGAGATGCAGAGAAAACAATGAGTGTCCTAAATAATAAAACACAAAGCAAAAAACAGTAGGTATAGAGACTTTATTTAGGGGTAGCAAAAAGAGAGGTTCCCACCCTATCTGTGTCTCAGCAGTCTGTGGAGAGTTTTAGGAAAGAGAGGAAAAGAAAATGTCTCCCACATTGAACCCTGTTGACCAACACATCTCAGTATAGCTTCTTGTGTGAATTTTAAAGGCCTTCATGATGATTTTCATTCTCTTCTAGCTGTGGGAATCATAAGCCTTCACAAGTATACAATAATTTTTATTAAAATTTATCTCCAACAAAGCAAGAAGTTTTACTTGTCTAAAAGAGAGAAGGAAGGGCTGTTGACACACATGTACCCAGACACAAATATGCACATATGTGTATAAAATATATTAACACATATCCTCGATGAACATGTGAATATTTGCCTATTTTTAAACTATTACTGGAAAATACCTTGTATAACACTTGCTAGTGGCACTCTTCATAGCATTAATGAAGATGCAAGTCATATTGCTATCCAAATTTCACATTCTAATTTGTTTTCAAAACTGTTAATGGCCACCTGAAAGAATGAGTCTATTTATGGAGAAGCTGCTTATACCCCAAAGCCTTCTCCAATGAAGAAATCAACAAAGAATTTCCTCTATTAAGCTACGATTGGGGTCAGTGTTCAAAATTTGGTTTTAAAGCATGAAACCCTTTAAGACTGTTTTAAGGAAATGGAGAAACCCCTCTGTTGCCATGCCTTCACCCACAGGAGGGATGAAGCATTTTTGTTTTATTTTAGGTATAAACCAAACCTTACAAAAAAGGCCAAGTATGACAGATAGAAAGCAAAGGGGGGCTTCAAATGGACACTGAACCCACAGTCATGAAGGAGGATGGCAAGCACTACTTACGGTCGAGGGGAGGCCTCACATTGTAGAAATTGATGTTTTTGGCAAACGCTCGATTTTCTGAGAAGATAAATATCTGGATGACAGCCACAGCTAGAGCATGACAGATGAGCAGCATTCTGACTTCAGGAATTAGGTCAATGTCATATGTCTATCAGGAAAAGACAGACTAGTTCAGCTTATTAGAGTTTTCTATATCAATGAGAGTATATTTTGCTTCTGTTTGCAAAGCTCCATGATTCTAAATTATTCAACCATCTTACCTGTTGTGTGGAGCTGGTCCCTGCAAATAAACATCATTCTTTTTAGTCAGATAAAGTTATTTATTTCTACTGGTCAGGCCTCTGCACTAGCCAGCTGAATTTCAGAAAGATGTTCTCTGGCCTTCCAGATTTAGGAAGAACAAGTTGCCAGCACTGACTTACTGCTCCCCATTTCATGGGTGCCTGAGGCTAGCTGGTTGACTTTGTGCTAAATCTTGTGGTCTCTTAAATCAACCACAGTTCTAGGCTTGTTCACCTGAAGCCATTAGACTATGTGTCCGTCAAATCTACAATTCTTTCAAAACATGGAAGAAACTACAAAAATTGGGACAGTGAGAAGGATTGTGACTAAAAGGACAATGAGTCTGGGAAATACAATCATTGCTAGATTCAAAAGCACAGATTTATGTAGAGAAACATAAATCACTGTGAACTGGGCTCCTGTGGCTCACATCTATAATCCTAACTTCTCAAGAGGCTGAGTTCAGAGGAACACAGTTCAAAGCCAACCCAGGAAAGAAAATCTGTAAGACTCTTGCCTTCCATTTGCAGGGAAATGGATGGAACTTAGAAGAAATCATGTTGAGTGAGGTAAGCCAAGAGCAAAGAGACAAATGGTACATGGTTTTCCTGATAAGTGGATGTTAAAACTAAAACGTAAGGTGATATGACAAAGTAAACATGACTCAAGAAACAAAGGACCTACACTCATCTGGTCGAATCATTACTAAATGGCCCCATGCTGCTGATCACACATATGGTATATATGTGCACATCGGAGGGAAACTAGGAGGAGGACACAGAACTAGAGGCAAACAGGGGACAACATACAACAGTGGAACCCATCAGCTGCACTGGACATTGATCAAAATGAACTAAGCAACTCAATGGCAGTAATTGGAGGGAGGGAATGAGCGGGAAAGAGGGAACAGATGACACTAAGCAAAAGGAAAGAAATGTACATATCACCCAATATGGAGAAAACAACTGTATTGTCAAAGCTCATAGAACTCATAAGCTTTATAGACCGCGATAGACAATTTGCCCCATGAAGGTAAGAATGTCTTTGTGACTTTAACTAAGCATCACTATCCCATAATACTGTGAAATTTGTCAAATTATGTAATCACTTATTCACAATTAAAAAAATTGCCAGGCTGGGAAGGTGGCTCAGTGGCAGAGTGCTTGCCTTGCCTGTGTGAGGCCCTGGGTTCGATTCCTCAGCACCACATAAGCAGAAAAAGCCAGAAGTGGCGCTGTGGCTCAAGTGGCAGAGCTCTAGCCTTGAGATGAAGAGCTGAGGGACAGAGTCCAGGCCCAGAGTTCACACCCCATGACTGACAAAAAAAAAAAAGAAAGAAAAAGAAAAAGACTCTTGCCTTCCCATTAACCACCAAAATACTTGAACTGTGGTTCAAGTGGTAAAGTGCCACCATTCTTGAATGAAAATAAGCTAAGAAACAGTGTAGAAGCCCTGAGTTCAAGCCCTAGTATGGGCACATGAGAGCACACGTGCTTGCACGCACGTGTGTGCGCACATGCACACACACACACACACACACACACACACACACGAGTCATCATTGAAAAGCCAGGCCTATCTGCTTCTGCCACACTGGGGGCAAGGGCAAGTAGGCAGGGCTGGAACTCAAAGGAACAGCAGACATGTTCATAGTTCCAAGTAAAAGCTATGCCATTTGAGGTCCAGAAGTTCTGTCCTCCAGAATCAGAGCTGCCAGTAAGAAAATCTATAATAGCACTCCTCTTTGACAAAGGAAAAGGACATGAGGGAACAAATGCAAACATGCAACCTAGAGTCCAAAGACTTAACTTCATCTGCTGGCTCTGCTCTTTATTAACTGCCTGACCTTGGGCAAGCTCTTTAAACTCTATTAACCTCAATTTCCTCATCTGTAAAATGGCTTAATAATACCCACACTGCCCACACATTTGAGTAATGGTGAGCATCAAATACAGGCTCAGATAGAATCACATAGGATTGTGTAAATAAAAACACACATAATAAGAGTTCTGGGAAGATGGAGGGATATTAGAGTTCAATAATGTTGCATGGACTTATTTTCTTCTTGCTGAATCAACTGGTCTCAGTGGCATACGGATATTTCAAAGGTATCTCTTCATGCGTTCACATAATCCCTCATATGAACACTGTGTTTAAAGCCAGAGAATAATGTGTGGGTTCTACTTTCCCTCTTGTGAATATGATTCACAATGGCCAACAATTCATATTCAAGAAGAGGAACTATGAGACAAAAGGAATCACAACATATAATTCCTATAGAGGGCTTTTGCCATAGTGCACCTGAGTCACTAAGAAGAATGCCCTTGATGTTAAAAAAAAACAGATAACAACAAAGCCTGGTGAATATATGTTTTATAGTTCATTTCAAAAACTGTTCTGTTACAACTTTGGGATTTCTAAATTTGTGTGTGTGTGTGTGTGTGTGTGTGTGTGTGTGTGTGTGTGTGTGTGTGCGTATGCACTGGTACTGGGGCTTGAATTTAGGGACTTATGCTCTTGCTTGGCTTTTTCAATAAAGGCTGGCACTCTACCACTTTAGTCATACATTTAGTCTAGCTTCTTGCTCATTAACTAGACATAAAGGTCTCATGGTCTTTTCTGCTCAGGCTAGTTTTGAACTTGATCCTGAGATCTGAGCTTCCTGGGTAGCTAGGAGTATAGGTATGAGCTATTAGCACTTGGCTACAATTCCATTATGTTCTTTCTGAAGAAGTAGTCATTTAGCTAGTTTTATTACCCCGCGCAGCTAAGTTGTTACACTGATACAGATCCTGCTTATACTCTTTATCTGTCTACATTGGTCTGTTCTTTAGTCACTATAAATGTATGACCAAGGAATAAACATTTAATATAATATAACATCTAATATAATAAACATCTAATATAATTTTTGAGAGGGAGAGACTAATCCCTTTTTCCAAAACCTGAGGATGATAGTATTCCAATAAAAATCCATGGGTGTTCTTACAATGTGGAAAGTATATCTAAGATTATGGAGTTCAAGATCACATTGAGTACATTCAAATCCCTTTTCTATCATTAAGAAGCTGTAATGCCTTAGACAAGCTGCTGAAATTTCCAGCCTCAGCTTCTCCCCGTGTGGAACAAGCATAGGAACAGTGGATAGACCAGAGGATGAAATGTACACAAAGCACTCAGCTGGGGCTGGGGGTCAGTGGCTCATACCTATAATCCTAGTAGCTACTCAGAGGATCGTGGTTCAAAGCCAGCCCTGGCAGGAAAGTCCATAAAACTCTTACCTCTAACAAACCAGAAAACTGGAAGTGGTAGTGTGGCTCAAGTGGTAGAGGGCTTGCCTTGAACTGAAGAGCTGAGGGACAGCGCCCAGGCCCAGAGTTCAAGTCCTTCAGATGGGAGCAGAGCCCATGGTGAGGCTGGGCGTGGACAGTCAAGAAGCAATGAGGCCACATCACATTGTCACTTAACACGAGCTTTTCAGATTCAGAAAAATGGATACACTGTTTAATTTTGGATGATCTAATTTTGAAAAATGCCAAGAACATATTGTCTCTGTAGAGCAACTGATCCAAAATTCCTACCCTTACTTCTAGCTCCTGGAATAAAATGCCAACAATGATGAATATAGAGGAAGATGGAATTCAGATACATCAAAGGCTTCTCTGAATAAATGAGTGGATGGTAGACAACTTATAAACACCTACAAAAAATAAAAAGCCTAAGAATTAGATTCCTTTTTTGGTTTCTCCATTGTGTAAAACAGCATTGGAGAGGCTAAAACATCATCGCCATTGTGTAAATGAGGAAACTGAGGCTGATCTTCACTACATACTCCCAAGATACTCTGATCAGAAAACTTCCTATACCAAATAAAAGAGGGAACTTGTGAGAAAACACAGTAAACTGCTTGCAAGGAATGTTACTTTCCTATAGAGAAAATGTATTTTCATTTCTATTTTAAACTGAAACAGCATAGCCTCATTCTATCAGAATTCTCCAACACTGCAAAGGTTTTACCTGTCAAATGAAGAAAAGCACTAACTTAAAAAGTGAAGCACTAGATAAAAAAGAGCAAACTTCATAATCTATCACCATACATGTCTCCCAATTACTTATCTCTCTCTCTCTCTTTGAGCATATAGGTTTGTGTTAACATGATTGTTTCAGTTTTCATGACCAAAAGACATTAGGATAATGAAAAAGTAAATGACTAAAGTGAGTTACTGAGTATTGTTTTACATTGTGAGTCATTTCACGAAGACAGTGAACTAAAAATTGTCTGACAAGGTTTTGCTGAGTAGGCTCTAGCTGCAATCTGTGTTGTTAGAGTAAGGTTACAGAAGGGCTTATATTTTGTTCCAAAGAAGGGGGGGAAGATCTTAATTATCATTCAGAATAACCCATTCAGGCTTTTTCTCCAAAGCTGACACACAGAGATCAATGCTACTTCTTCATCCTGGACAAGGGGTAACCTTGAGTTTTTTAAGTAATTTTCAGAATTGTGCATTCAGATCTGTTTCTCCTGGAGTGAAGTATCTCAAAAGAATCAGAAACCCACAGCCTGCTGTTTCAGAGCATGACTTCAATGATTCAGCTTCCCGAGGTAGGCATTTTTTATATATTGTGACACTAAGAAGAAGCTCCACACATACATTTTGGAATGTATGTGCACACTCCGCAGACTCAGTGGTAGCTTGGAACATCCTTCCCTAAAGAGGGCTTCTTATTTTTGTCTGTTCCCCAGGTAGTCGTCTTTGTGAGAAGAAGCGGTTCACGTGCTTTACAAGTTTCTCCTTTGAAAGATATAACTTCTGCTCCAGAATTCAGAGGGCTTCTATTCCCAGAGAAGGAGGAGCTATCTGTGAG